GGATTTATACGGTAAGCTACTGTAGGAGACTTACCACCGTTCTCCTGTGGTGCTTTTCCAGAAGAGTTCCCAAGAAGGCCTCAAAGTTCATGCCGGGGGGTAGTTCAAAACCATGGGGAAGGGCCAGTGTGGAGCTTGAAGGCGAACTGGTGGAGTAGAGGTGGGGCCCGTGCCCTCACTTTCAAATCCTCAATAATGGACCTCCCAATATTATACGCAAACCATTCCCAGTTACAATGCAACCAAATACGTAATCTCCCGTCCCACCTGTACCACGAACCACGTCGACCAAATTATCACCTGCGAATAGTCAAAATGATGACACTCCACAAGGTGCTCATTAGAAGATAAGCCTGCCGAAATTGCTTAACGTACTCCCGAACTACCCCTACGTTCCGCGAAGAGCACGGAAGCGAGGAAAAAGAAGACGCCAAGCTCCCAGCGGAAGCGAGCCAACCCTCCACTTAACACACGTTGACTTCAAAATTGCCAAAACCTAAACCCTAAATATAAGCCACATGATTCATTCGATTCTATTCACCATTATCCTGTATTAGTAGACAAGTTAAACTAGTACTGGAAACGGAGACGACCCAGGGGGCATATGAATAGTCCCAAGTTTCAGGTACAAGGTACGACTGTACCGTGACCAGCAACCAAGCCCCAACAACAGAAAAACTAAAGCATCCTCGTTGTTTCATAAACAACTCTTCGCAGCAGAGAGGTAACTTTTCCATGGAGGATCCACCTTTTTTGCTGTTGCTGCTGCTCACGGCAGTTCCATTGGTCCTTGCCCGCTGCTATACTAATCTCTCTAAGAAGAAGAATTTGCTGCACCAACACAACCACAAGCTGCTTTCCAAACCAATGCCGTTTGAATCTATTGGAATCGTTGGAGCAGGTGCGATTGGCACCGTTTGCGGTCTCTCTCTGTCGCGAATGACCAATCTGAAACGAGTGGTTCTGGTAGGTCGCAAATCTCTCGTGACTGCTGTGGAAACCAACAATGGACAATTGAGATTGCTCGACAAGACACAGCAGCCCCAACAAGGAATGATAGTTCAGAACTTTGCCGTCCACATTAGTAACAGTTTGGCCACAACACGAATACCACTCCTACAAGACAACAGCAAATTTGTGGCTGTGACGGAAAATTTTGAGGATTTGGTGACATTTCAGTGTTCTGTAATTATTGTGGCCAGCAAGGCGACAGCAACTGAAACCATTGCCAAAGGATTGGCCAAGGTCTTGCCTCTGGATTCCAATGTCACCATTGTGTCCTTCCAAAATGGAATTCGCAATGCCGATATTCTTAGAGAGACTCTCCAAAACCACAAAAATGTCATGGTGCTCTCCAGTATGGTCAGTTTCAGTGCTGGCTGGAAGAGTGGAACCAACCTGTTTTCCAAAACCAGTGATGGCAGTTTGGAAATACAACGTCCCACAGCCAAATCCATGCCACTACAATCCACAACCAAACAAAATAATGTTCAAGTTCATGCGGCTCGCATGGATTCTTTGGCAGCGGCATTGACAACCACTGTCATTCCCACAACGGTAGTAGCCGATGTATTGCCAGCACAAAACTCCAAGCTCTTGATCAACCTTTTCAATGCCGTCAATGCCTTGGCGGGCATTTCCACTCCAGCGACAATGGAAAAGGCAGGATATCGCAAAGTATGGGCTGCTGCCATTTCCGAGGGATTGGCTGTGTACTCCAAATTGGGAATGTCCATTGGGACCTACCGTGGTTTGTCACCCAAACTACTGCCACTAATGAAGGTGCTCCCCGAAATGGCCTTCAAGCTAGTCTTTCGTATTGTGGCCAAAGTGGACTATGACAGTTCCAAGAGCTCCATGTTGCAAGATATGGAACGGGGTCGAACCGAAACCGAAGTGGACTTTTTGTGTGGGGAAATTGTACAGTTGGGAAAGAAGGCCAATGTGCCAACACCCGTCAATGAAGCATTGGTACGACTTGTCACAGCGGCACAAACAGCTGGCAAGGGATCACCACAGATTGCCCCAGACAAACTGGTAGTACTAGTGGGATTGGAAAAGCCGTCACCACAACAGGAATCAGCAGGGGTCAAAACAATGGATTGATGGATGCAGGAAGCCATTCAAAAGATCATTGGATTGATCATTCGATTCTGTTCAGGTGCTCTGCTGCTAACGTGTACCCCTATACTACTTTCCTAGCTAGCAAGTAATCTTTAGAATAATATCTGGCAGTAGTAGTGCAGCCAGAGCCTTTCCTTCGGCCTGCGAATTTCTTTTCGCTTTGCCCACCGGTACGGTAACCACACATCTGTGTATCTAAGACATTCCAAGGCTCTTCAAGCTAAGCCCTTCATCTGGGACGCTGGTGCAGAAGCCGTCCTCTGACCTGAGGCAAGTAACAACAGCTTCAATGGCATTGACGATGGACAAGTCAATGCCATTGTCTCTGACATAGAATGTCTACTCGTGGTAGTTGGAAAGCGCACAGCCGGGTCAGGTCAAGTCCAGTCAACAGACAAACAATCGAGACGACCACAAAGCGTTTTGTCGCTTGCGGGACACTTACGGTTCCGTACTTGGCTTGCAATCGAGTCCAAAAGACGTTGGGAAGAGCAAATTTGACACCGTCACCTACATTGAAATTCAAGACATTCCCCTTTCCACCAAACTCGTCCACTACCAGCACAATGTATTTGTCGTCTTTTTGTCCCTGGGAGCATGAAAGCATGACATCAGAAAAACAAGGAAAAGCACACCACAAAGCACACCACAATCGAGTGAGTGAAACACTCTCTTTCTCAAAGCACATTCAGAGAAAAGGTTCCAAAATACACGCAACGCACCTCCTTTCCAAGATCCCAGTAATCTCGAATGGCCAATCCAGGTGTATTGGGATATCGTTGACAGAGCACTCGCACACGGAATCCAGTTTCCTTTTCGAGATTGGCCAAGAGTGTATCAAGACGCTTGGCTTGTCCTGACGTTAAGAATTTCTCCACTTGAATGACATTGAGGTTCTTGTCCGACGGCAACAAATCGGGACGGTTCACAGCCTCCAATCTGGCCGAAGCTTCGGGTGGGGATGCCACCCAATAAGAGAGTCCTGCCAAAGTGCCTCCCGCAATCGATGACAAGAGGGATCGACGAGATGGAGCATTCTTGCTGTTGTTCTGGCTCGTTGCTGCCAACCAAGTGGATTGTTCCGTGGCAGTCCTTGGTTGGCCGTTGGGAGCAAAGGCATCACAGTCTAGCCCAGATGCCAGGAGTAGGAAAGTGGTGCAAGCAATGCTAAAAGTCCTCATGGTATTCTATTTTGTTTTCGGTCAAACAATGCAACAAGATGGCGGTTGAATAGTCTTCCGAAACTTTTGAGCAGTAACACAGAATACGAGGTAGTTGTAATGACTTGCTTGATGTGGTCAAAGCATTCAATTGTGATTCATTGGAGGCACATCAGCATCGGAAACACCAGCCGCCATGGTGTCATCAGGCAACAGGCAATCAATCGGTATCTTTTGGTTGATGACTGAGTCAGAGGTGTTTGGGGCGACTGGATTTTCAGGGATAAAAAGCCGTCAAAGCTGAATCCAAAGATACAGCAAAATCCAAAAGCAACGGTCATGAATCGAATCACAACAGCACAACCTTCCAAAATAAGCTGAATGAAGTGGCTCCAACATGAGTCTACCCCTTGCCCTTGGTTCCAAGTCTGTCTCGTCTCGACCTCTCCTGATCAACCTTGATGATAATGATGATGACGACAATGAGCATTCAGACCACAAGCCGAGTTTTCTTGCAGAAGATGGAATGACAGTGCTGGATCCCATTCGAATTTCGGATACCCCTGTAACAATGACGGCTGCGTGTCCTCTTCAAGAATGGATGGCACTGGCCACCATTGAATATTACGATATGATCATGAAAGTTGATCACGAAAGTGAAGACGATGATGATGATAATGACTCCAAAATACAGCAAAAAGTTGCACGGCACTCCACCGTGGTGGTAGTCCGAATTCAAATATCTTCACTGGCATCGCCATTCTCATCGGTCAATCGAGAAGTTCGACACCGTTTGACTCTCCCAAATCCCAGCCTGGGTGGTATGCATAGCCAACAACGGTATCTACAAGAAGACGACATGGATCAACTCGGAAAAACACCCGTGGAACCCAGTCTCCTTTTTTCCTCGGATCGACAACAATTAACGTGCCTGATACCCTATCCGCGAGGGTGTCACTCGGCATTGGTGGCATTTCCACTGCAACGACCGGATATGACGCATCAAAACAGCCAACGTCCACCCGTCAGACCCAAACTACCGGCCTATATCGCCGCTTCCTCGTCGTCATCATCATCTACCAATGCCAATAAAATTCCCGAAGCCAGAGGTGAACCTCAGTGGCTCACCCTCCCAAACAATGTGGGAATGGCGATACGGGACAAGGCACAGTACTTTTTGTACAATATCACCTCCATTTGCAATGCTACCACCCAGGAAATTGATTCCACCAAACGACGGACCGCGACCAAAAGTTCTTGTGTGCTCCTAGCGGGGTGTCGGGATGGTAGCATTTTGGGGATATCCTTTCAGCCATTGTTATTGGCGGGACAACTCTATCATCCTACAAGCTCTAGTAGCAAGGATACCAGCAATGGGGCGTCGGCAGCTATTACCTATCTATCCTACGTGACAATGTCCAGCACCATATCGGCGTATGAAGAGGATGGCGATGTTCAAGTGGTTGGCAAATTGGTTGCGCTGCAAAACCGAGGAAGAGCCCTCATCTTTGATACTCGAATGGTCTTGTCGTCATTACATCATGAAAATGCTGCTGTGTTTCAGCAACAGCATTTTGACATGGATGGCACGGACTTGAGCGCTACAGAAACAGAAGCGGATGCTTACAGAACGGTCATCCACGGAGAGAGCTTTCACGTTGTCAAAACGGGACGTCGAAACAGTCTACCCGCCAATACACGGTTGTCAGAAGTAGAGGAGGCGGCGCAACCTCTGATTCCAAAAACACGAAAAGAAGACGTTCATAGACCACCACAATCAAATCCAACAATGGGAAACACTGGTCTACTGATGACGTTGGAACCTTGTGGCCACTACGAAGGGAACTTTTGTAGAGCTCAATGGATCGTTGGATCACTGCTCGCATTGTTAGAAACACCGCAACTACCAGCATCGAGACAGCGACCTTTTCCAACGAACCATGCACGAGATCGGGTGGCACAGGTTATTGGAATTCGAAAAGATCGACCACCTCAAATGTTGACAGAACTTATTCTGACGTCGGAAGATCTGGAGTGCTCCCACACGACATTTTCTTTAGTGGTGGACAACGACGAATCCGCCATGGAAACGCAACCCAGCTCTGGATCCCCAAAATTTGGGAACAGCACAACCTCCACATCGGCGCTGCTAGGATCGTGCCTTGGGATGCAGTACGATAATGACACTGGTTGTCTGGCAATCAGCTCGGCTAGAAAATCCGCGCAGTCGACGCCCAGGAATGGTGACAAGCATTCCTCGGCTCGTGTAAATGTCTTTGTCTGTCTTTGGCACTGGAAAACAAACGTGTTGGGCTTTACAGCAAACGCCATTAGCCCCAATCCAAGCGTGGCTTTGGGTTCAACCCTGCTATTTTCTAAAGAAAGGAGAGCGAATCGACGACGATTGGTGCATATTTATTCTGCCAGCTCCAACCGACACTGGAGTCGCGTTCGCAAGGACAACTACGAAATGGGCGTATTGTCTCCACACAATGAAACCCACAAAGGCCGTGGAATAGCTGTGAAGGAGCCCTCACCAATGCTTCTGACATCGACGTCGGTTTCGTTTGCAATGGTTTCCCAGGTGCGTTCATGCTTGGCAAGGTCGAAGTAACGTTTGGGTCGGGATTAAGCAGCACTCGCAAAACTCACCATTGCCGCTTTCTTTTAGCAATCCAACCAGACCAGTGAGATTGAGTGGCGGGAATGTGCCGTCCCCTACTCATATCTGCAAGATTACGGCTGCCCGTCGATTGCAGCGATGAGTTCCGGTGGATCGTCCATTGCGATAGCATCATCACGTGGGTTCTGCATGCTCGAGTGCTCACCCAGATCGCTGAAATCGATTGCCGTTGAAGATCGTCGATATCTCTCACAAGAGTTTGTAGGGTCACAACCAAATGCACGAAAAGAAGCTCATCCGAATAGAAGGGTTCACAATCTCCCTCCGAGATGGCATATGTTTGGGAACGAAAGCGAAGAAAGGGCATTCCGGGTCTTAGCAATGGACTGGTGGAATGGTGATAAGGGCGCCACGCGCAACCACTTATCTGGTGACCTTTTGGTTGCTGTTATTGAGCGACACGAAAGCCAACCAGACGAACCTGGTGTTTGCTATTTGGCATGCTGGTCGCAGAGGAGGTAATTAATCGTGTATGTTGCTTCAAATCTGTCTGCGGGGATGGATCTCATTTTATTCTGTTTCCACTCTTTTCTTGTTCTAAGTTGGATGTTGCACATCAGAGGCTTCGGTCCTTGGACGCGAACCTGCAGTCTTGTAGCTTTCAATGGGGTGTTCGCCTACCCAGCGCATTCAAACCCAAATCATTGAAGCTGCTTAGTCAACCAACAACACTTTCGCATGCTGTCGCTGAGAACGGTAGCTTTCGAGGCAGGAAGGCTGTAGTTCTACTTTCCGGTGAGGCTGATGTGCAGAGAGAAGTTGTTGACTTCCTCGTAGTTCAGCTCCAGGCTGTCCCCTCGGTTGGGAGAAACCAAAGCTCAGGTAGCTATGTTGAGCACCATCCTTTCTCTGTGTTAGCCAGTTTGTGCTCGGGTGGTACGGTCCACACCGGCACGAATGGTTCCTCCATCACATCCTTTTTCATTGCCAGTGCGTCCTTTCAATTTGATCTTCGGCAAAGACGGACGAGTCATTCAATCAGCAGCAACTCGTCCAGTCCCTTGACACTGGAAGATTTCATTTGCGCAATTGGTGTGACACGCACCCCAGGTTGTGGTCTGGAGGTCGTCGTCGTAACTTCTGAGGGGCCCTTATCAAACACACCTGTCTTGGGCAAGGCTCTGCCAGGGATGAACGATCTCAAGTCGGCGGAGATTGCTTCGTATTATCTTTCCGATACGGTCAATCCCGAGTGTACCAATGCCTTGGGTGGCAGTCTCGTCAGTATGGGCTTCTACGTGTGGACTTTTCAGCTAGCCTCGGGGAAGTTGTTCTGCTGGATTGTCCCGTTTCCGTCTCAACAGGTAGGGCATAGCTCTGGTCTGAAAAGATTGTTGTTTTCATTTGACTCAGCCACCTGTACTGTGTTCATCACTTCTGGTCATAGTCAACAGCCGAGAATGTTTCATCCAAGGTTATGCGGGGAATCTTGTGTCCGATTGGCACGTCGACAACTTGGTTACAGAAGTCGCCAACAAAGACAGCCAGAGATTTCAGTCTGGGTTGCATGCCTCATTCATCGCACGGATGCTTGCTCAGCACAGGACAGGCGTCCAGGAAGTTCCACCAGGCGATTGCCGGAGGCTTCGATCAATCTCTTTTTGCGCCCGATTTTATGGAACATGAGTTCCTCTATCCCGCGGACATCGAACTGGCACCACCAGCCTACATTTCTTCGTTGGCTGCCTTAATCCGCAGCCGAGCCTCGGCAAGCTCTTCATGTGCGAATAGCTCCCATATCCAACAAACCACAATTCCTCGGTATCTGGGTGGCGACGAAGTAGAGAAAGCTGTTCTCGTAAGTATCGCGTGTGCTTTTGTGGACGGACATGCTTGGCTGTAAGGCTAACCTGCTTACGTACCCTTCCAGGCCGTCGACACGAGCCATCATATGTTGATACGATCGTTGCGATACCCCGATGCGGCATTCCTTGCACTTCGGTTGCTGCTTTTGAGATCTACGGAGCAACTTGCGGACGACCGCAGGAAAACAGATGCTCCCGTGTCAGCTCCCGTTCTCCACGAAACACTTGAAGTGATTCGTAATTGTTCATCGAACCGGCTGCACTTTGCTTCGCTCCTGCTGGAGGTAGGGCGACAGTTGGAACCAAGTTGTTTCCCCCATTTGTTCCCCTTACCTCTAGAGCAGGCAAAGAAAACACAGAATAACCTCGGAACTGCGCGCTCGAGCTGGGTTGAGCCAAGGACTGTCAACGACTTCGTCTCTGTGTGCTTGGCAGATGGGTCGCTTCACTGTTCGGTTTCTTCATTGCCAATATTGCCTGGTGATGCTTGGTCGAAACAAAACTGCGAGTTGCTGCTGGGCCATTGCTTGCAGACTTTCGACGACAATACACACTCCGCCCACGATTTCTTCTTTGATTTTTCCACCGAGGAGCGCACCATGATGGGGGACATCTTTCGCTTTGGTGCCAAGGTGGAAGAAAATCCAGAAGAGGACGTCCAAGTAGACGTAACAGTTGATGACGACCCGTCAGATGATGACGATTCTACAGTTGACAGCTCTGCCGAGGAGGACAATCCGGGCAGAAGTCATGGCTATTTCTGGGCATGCGGGATGTTGAATTTTTCCCGGTTCCGTTCCTCCAAGCCGTCGGGTCCCATACGACGAATGGCAAACATAAGAACTCCTCGAAAAGAGCGCGAGAAGCCAGGTCCGACAAAGCTCGCAGCAAAACCTGTCCAGAAGACGAAAAGCATGGCATGCCTCATTGCTTCGTTGCTCGTGCAAGTAGCAGTGCCAGACAATGTGCAAAAGACCCGCTCTTACTGCTGGAGGCGGTCAGCTTCTCTTGCGTATTTGCTCCTTGGGCACGGAAAGCCGTTGCTTCCCGAGCTGTCTGCCGCGGAATGTACGAAACTAGCCCGAACTGCAACTGGCGGAACAAACGACGCATCAGTGGTGACAAAACTGGCCACGTTGATCTCGCACTGCCTCGTTGCCTGCTCGTCTGAACTTGGTACTGCAGCCGCTGGCAAGGTGTTGGATCTGGTCCTGGTTCTCTTGCGAATCTCTACAAAGTCATCAGGCTTTGACTCAAATCTCCCTGGATTGCTCGTCATTGGCATTGCTGCAGGCCATGCCTCCAACCGAGTGGCTGACATTTTGGACCTGGGGGACAGAACTGTTCCGTTTACATTGGCGTACCTTAAAGCCCGGGACATGCTGGATTCGTAGACACCGTGGTACGTGTCGTTGCGGTATCGTCGTGGAAGCTTGGTGCGTAGCTTATCCCTCTCAGCTGCTTGAAGATTGCGTCGTTTCTGGGTATCTCATCCTCTCCCTGTTCTGAGCATGTATGGGAATGCAACTGGTTGCTGCACGGAGATTTTCGGCTCGTCCAAACATCTATCTACTCTAGGCTCTCTTTGCCCACTAGCTAGGATGTTTGTGTGAGACATCCAGAGAAGCTTGCAGTCTTTCACACCTCTTATTACTTCGTTAGTACATGGCGCTTCCTGGTACCAGAAGCTGCCTTTTCTACTAAAATGTACTAGCTAGCTAGCCTTGAAGAATTGTTTTACTCTGCACTCTTCTCACCTCCATCAACTGGCACACAGAGCTACAGATGGGTGCAGTAGTACCGGTACCTCAGAGGAGCTGCCATAAGAAAGCTGGAAAACTGTAACATCCAAAAGAGCAAAAATGCTTGGGTAGCTAAAGCTTTGAATGCCGCATAAATCTCCTTAAATCCAATCTCCATAGGCTTCTGTGCTTTTTGCTGCCGCTTTCGATCCTCTTCATACGCTTTCCCATTTGGCCTTCCACAAAGCTTATACACAGTGTACCAATAATCCATCAAAGAGAGGGGCAACCACGCTGTACATTCTCCATTTTTTGCTATCCAGGTCGCATTTGCACTTGAAGTCTGAATCGAATTCGGCTGTGCTCATTTGAATTGCTGAAGAGCAAAAGGAGGGAGAGAAAGTTATTGTGCTGCGTTGTTGTTGGTGGCAATGAAGGGCAAAGAGCCACAAACGGTTCACCGAAAAATCGCCATTCTTGGCTATCGGGCTGTGGTGGGTTGATACTGTAGAGGTGTCAGAACAGCTTCATTGTGTTGGCCTTGATGGAAGGAGACGCCAGTCTCATCTTTCTATGCTTTCCTCTTGCAGGGAAAATCATCGTTGACACACTCGTTCGTGACGGGATCCTTCTCGGAAGCGTAAGTGTTGTTGTTTCCATGGTTTGTCTTTATCGCCTATTTTCTGTCTTGACAAGGGCCCGACTGATGATTTGTTCCTTGGTTGTTCTCTGCATCGACGACGACGACGACGACAACGATACTCTCGTTGTAGGTATGATCCCACTATCGAGAGCACACAGCACAAGGTGAGTTCACGAAAAAGCGGCGACGGGGTGTACAAATAGCATCAATCAATCAGATTACCCATTGTACCCACGTTTGCGCCATTTCATTCTTTTTGCACAGACTATACGTTTCCGCAAGGTTCATTTTGCCACAGATATAGTTGATACTGCAGGCATGGTCAGTCTGAAGAGCCACAGGCTGCTGTTGGTTATCTTTTATTCTATTCTTACCGGCCCACTGCCTGTGCCCTTTCTTTTCACCTCCAGGATGAATACTCTCGTTTGTCTCGCAACGCCTCTCTTGGAGTCCATGGATATGCTTTGGTATTTTCCATAGTATCTCGGAAGTCTTTTGAAACAATTAAACAGGTCAATGATTCCCTACTCAACACACTTGGAGATGCTCCTGATGTACCACGGGTGCTCGTTGGAAGTATGGAAGACTTGTCTGATCAAAGACAAGTGAGCAAACAGGTAGGATTAGCAGTGGATGACGGCGATGCAACTCTGCAATTCACGACCTCACAATGCAGTCCTATCACTCGTAGGATGCACAAACTATGGCCGAATCCCTGGGCGTCCCATACATTGAATGCAGCGCCAAGACGGGAGAAAACGTTGCGGAAGTATTTCATACGCTGCTAAAAGAGATTGAAAAGGACGACGGCCTTCTAGCCGAAACAGGGGAAGGAGGTTGCCATATTATGTAACCCAGGGAATGTACCGTACGGTACTACAACCAAAACTTTTGATGTACATACAAGTGAAAAAGACAGCGCGCACTTAGCTAGTTGGCAAGAACCAAACGACGACAATACAACAGTTACAATAGCTACCTTGCAACAGCCATCACCTTGGGCTCCAAGTGATACTCCTTTAGTCTCGACTGTGGTTCCCAAGCCATGGCAAAGATCCGAATGACGTAACATCCCTCCCGATACTACTGATTACAAGTATCCAGTCCAAGCACAGCACCATGCATACATAGACTCTGTGGCATGATAGCTTGAATCGAATCTATCCGATCTTGTGCATTTTCACAACTAATTAAGATAATCATCCCTTCGCCTTTCGCTACTCCCAAGGGTTCTTGCCAATCAATAAGAACTGAGTCCGATCCACTTACAGGACCCGACGAGTCAGCCTTGTGACGGAAATGGGATAGTACATGTATTGCGAGCTTCTGGGTTCCTTCTACTAAAGAAGGCAAGGACCTTGGAGCCAGCCAATGCCGCTTGATGCTTGATGCCACGAAGATTTTTTAACCACATGCAAAGTCAGTTCTCTTCCGGTGGTTTTATGGAAGATAATCACCTACCATCGTGCCAACACTGATTCAACCCAACAAGGCTGTGTATCGGTCGCCGAAGTTGATGACAGGCCTGAGTACTAGCTAACCAGGCAGTCTCTCATGATCACGATCCTGAACATGGCCATAGAGATTGCAATAAGGATGATGGTCTTCAAACTACCCAAGATCTCAATACAAGAAGAAAGGGGTTTTAGAGCAGGGAAGTTATCTACGGTGAGGAGCCACGCTTAGACAAAGAAGAGGCGGAATTGGGGACTAGGTGCCATGGGATCAGGGGCGAAAACTTGAGGTCCAACATGGCGGCCAAAGGGCTTGACTTTGCAGGATCCATAAAGATGTACATGACTGGCGTTTAAAGGGCAATTGAGAGTTGGGTCTGGAGGTCTCAATATACTCCTTTGAACCTTCATTTTGACCAGCTCTATCGTTGTTGGCGCAGATTCGATTCAGACAAGGACCATAGTTTTAACAGATTTTCCAACCAGAATGTATTACATGTACAGAGGTAATAAAGGCATCGCTTGGTTTAGTTACGGTACGTTCTGGAAAGGTCAAAGCCAGGAAATGGCGACGCAAACAGACGAGACCGGACGTCATAGCCTCGGATTTCCCGGCCTTCAGTGCGTGTATAGAACATGATTGTTCGTATTGAGTGGGAGACCGGTACGATATGGAGGAGGCAGAGGTGTTTTTCATGAAAGCGAAAAGAATTTCGGAAGACTGGGAGCTTTTCAGCCAGATTCCCAGGAGTATCATGATACGTGTACCTGTTCTCGCACGGCTATTGTTGGTTTTGAACAAATATATCTTATTTTCTTGCTATGGAATACTCACTAGCTAGCTAGAACATGTAAATTGCAGACGTTTATCTTTTTATGTTTTGACAATAACACTCTGAGGTTTGTACTCCTTGGCTTCCTTCATCATGGAGTCGTAAATATCCTGCGCCTCAAAGTCTTTCTTGGGTGTCCTTATCAGCACGCAACTGGTGGGTCTCTTGGTGGATGCAGCCGCACCCAGGTCATGCTTAGAGGGAACAAAAACGTAGGGAACCTCCTGTTCTTCCAAGAGCAAGGGCAAGTGACTGATGGTGTCAATGGGATAGATATCGCCTGCCAACACCGCGAGACCCTTTTCTCCCTTCCGTAGACCTTTGACGACTTCCTTCACGCCACGCCGCACATGCTTGGCAGAACTCCCCTTCTTGACCAACTTGTACAACTTTTTGGTGGACTTCTTATTTGCCAACGGATGAGCGATGATATTCACGGCCTTGACGCGTTCCTCGTATTCCTTGGGAGGAGCGGACGATTTCTTCTTGCTTTCCTTCTTCTGCTTTGATTTGCCTTCTTCAGAGTCCGACATCTTGGGTTGCTATAGACTGGAATAGATTGTGAAGTGTGCTGCTTCTTGCTTTGTGCTACTTGCTCGCTAGCTGGATCTTACTTTGAGGAATGGGTTACTTTGTTGGATTCGATTGTCTTGTCATGGTCGAGATCCGAAAAACACATGGCCAACAGCCGAGACGGCCCCGGACGATGGACAGAGGCTTGGATACCTACAAGCCCGCGAAGCGGCTTGTTTGGCTCAAAAGTGAAGTCCAGGTGTTTTCTACTACGGTACCTGGTAAGCGTCTCAGGAGACACTCGTCTGATGCAGAGCATAGCTAGTGGCACCATAGACTGCACATGTAGCCCCCATCGTCGCGTGTTTGCTTACACTATGACAGTTAACTTTTGGTTGGCCTTGCCAGGCAGAAAACGTCTTTTCCTTTCACGACAGGAGACCCTGCCAGGAATTGGATTTTGCATCAGCATCAACGGTGCGTAACTACTGTGGCAAGGCATCATCGCCCGTACGGTACCTGTATCTACCGAGGCAGGTCGTGAGCACTTGCCATGTCGACAATGGTATTCGAATTATGAATGACACTATGAATAACTAGTAGTACTAGTAGCTACCCCTCCTTTCGTTCCGTGCTCATGCATTGCACATTACTGTCTACATTCCATCCCTTGGGCAAAAACCTTGGCGCCATGGTTCGCACAAAATGCTTTCGCCACCCCTTGACGAATGCCTGTATATCCTCATCGGTTTGGCACATTGCCTCGACAATGACTTCGGATGGCGGGATATAGTGTGGATTGGGAATTTTCTCTTCGACTTGTATCGCTTGTTGGAGGAGTTCCTCCGTTACAACAGTTGTATCGGCCAACTGGAAATGTTGTTGCAGCAGTGTTTCGTATTCTTGAATGGTATCGGGAGGCAAGTTGCTGCGCCATCGCAACAATGCGAGTGCACAACTTTTGACTTTGTACAGGTGCCGATCGGTGGTGTGTGGCGTGGCCGTGTTGGGATCTTTTCGACAGCACTTTTCGAGGTATTTGAGGCGTTGGGTGGCCTGTTTTTTGCATTCCAAATGACAGTCGGGACAGAGAATGACAACGTCGTGTGCCATGTGTTTCTTGTACTTGTTGGGTAACAAGGCGCGACAGGCATAGGGGACAATGTAGTGTCGCATATGATACTGGTCGTGTCCACAAACGACGCAAATGTTTTGTTTGATGGATTTGTTGAAAAAGGCATCTTGTTCGTCTTTCTTGTTGTCGTCGCTTTGATTCGACCGATGGCTCGGTTCGAACAAGAGCTGGATGGTCGTTTTGTCATCCTCATCTTTCCACACGGCCAAGGATTTATTGACATACCAGTTGGCCTTTTTTTTGGAAATGGTACAGAGGACAGTGCCCTGAGGATCCAGCATGCGAATATTGTCGTACATGGGCTTTTTCATGGCGAGCAGTGGAATCTTTTCTTGTCGACGTTTCTCCTTGTAAATGTCTCGTCTCATGTGCGGAGGCATCTCTCCTCCATTATCATCTTCAATTATTTTTGGTCTAACCTCCTTTTCTCGCAGCCATTTCGTCATGGCATCTTCATTATCATCTTCCTCGTCGTCATAATCATCATCGTCATAGTGTCTTGGCCGCCGAGACGTGCTTGTGCTGGATGATTGCCAAAGTGCCACAGCAGAGACTGCCACGGCAACCAGGCACGTCCCTCCGACCCACAACAACAGGGTACTCGATGAAGAAGGCTTTGCCACCGCCATGGCCACTTTTGTGTTGTTCTGAGATCTTTTGAACTGTGAGGGACGGGGACTGCACTTCATTTGGAGGTCTAACAGCTTCACGGGCTTTTAAAACTGCCGAACTCCCACAACTCCATGCACCCGGCCAACCGAACTTCACAAAATGCTGTCTTGGTAACAGGATGTCCTTGAAAACACTTGACATCTTTCAGTCCTTCCTCATGGGAACTACTAGTATGATGCCAGAATTCTCCATTGAGGATCTGCAAGCCAAAATAGTATTGGCCAACGAAGGTTCCAAGAAAGCTGCAGATGTTCTCGTAATGATGGATAGCATTAGCTACCACTGAGAAAGGCAAGGGCAGCCAGCGCTGATGGAATGAATCCCCCGTGCAGCTGATCTCCAGCTGATCTGGCTGTGGAAATATTGGGGTGTTTCAGAAAAAAATCATGGGAGTGAAAAAGAGACTGTCACTCATTCAGAACATTCGCCAACTGGTTGAGGCATTGTCCAGAAGTTTGAGTCTACATCGTGGTGATCATTGGATGCCCTTCCGGACAGAGTCGAGTCGAGTCTCCTACAGCATGGCTGCCAGGCAGCACACTAAACCTACATTTCATAAAGTACAGTAATAGACAACCTTATGGTAGCCATAGTATTGCATACGACTTATTCAGATGAGACTACGTGTAAAAGGTTGCGACTCTGCATCTGGTAGCCAACGTTTATGAGTGATTTGCACGGGAACTACCAGTTGGAGGTTGATTCAACCATCTTGCATTCTACTGTACTGCAATGTGATATATGCAGCTTCAAAACTCTGAAACCTCTCTTTTGTTTAGTTTCTCTGTTTGCTTGCTTGTTGTTACTGATTGTTTTTGTTGTTGTTGAATCGTCTACCGCACCATTATTTGCAATGCCAGAAAGTTGATCCAATAACAGCCCACTCCCAGCGCCATCAAATTCATGAGTGTGGATATCCCGTGTAGCATTCCAAATTGTTTGGAGAGTGCTTTGAGTTCGGGATCATTGGCCGCCTTGGGGTCTTTGGGTTTGATGATTCCCACTTCGTGTCCCGTTCCCAATCGTCGCTCCACAACATGTCGCGCAAACATGACTTCGGTCGTTTTGGGTTCCAGGAAAACCAAATTGGCCAATATCGTCGCCAGAATGCTGCCGAGTGGAATCCAGGATTCCTTCGTCCACTGCAATGCCTGTGCCGTGGCCCATGCCACCACCATCATGACGGCGGAAAACAAAAAGTAGGCCGGAAAGAGTTTGGCTTGCAACCGTCCAAAGACATGTCGTGGTAAATTTTGAAACATGACAATCCCGGCAATAAAGGAAACCCAAATGGAACATCCAAACCACGAGGAAAAGGATAGCAAGTGGAGGAGGAGTATCATGTGTCGTTTATTGCTGTCGTTGGTAGTAGTATTCGTGCTACTGGTTAGGTGGAAGGAGACGGCCAAGACGGCCATGAGTACGGCAGCGCGGACCAATTGCCGGCTCATGGTGGGAGCCGTCTGGCTGGAACTATCAGTAGTGCCATCGGTGGTTGGTTCCTCTGCCTTGGACGAGTCTGACATTGTTAAAAGTTGGTTGATGCTCTTCTTCTGATGTTTGTGTCGACATGCTTGGAGGAGAATAGAAGGGAAGAAAGAATCTGGACGTGACTCAGTCACTCCTCAGTCTTCTCTCGCTTGGATCTTCTTCTTACAGAAGCACTGTGCGTCCTTGTGTAAAAGATCGCGCAACCTCCACAGGCTTCGGCCACGAAAGAGCCAATGCCACAACCACATCTCGATCATGTCTCGACCATTATTTTTGTTCAAGTGTCTTTAGAAGGTTGCTATAGTATCTATTGCTTCTTCTTGTCTTGTCGACCATGACATCCCATCAGGAACCGGCCCCTGGGTCCAAGTCTGCCAAGTTTGTGGCAGCCGATCCATTGGCGCCCATGGTAGACCCCTTTCAGCATTTGGTAAGATAATATACCCAAACCAAACCAATGCGACCTCCACGCTATTATACCGTACAGTACTAACACACACAAAAATTGTATCTTTATTCTTTCTATTAATTATTATATTATTATTTATCATTAGGACGACGAACAACGCGACGTGCAACAAGTCTTGGCGGAGAATGTGAATAAACGATTGACCAAGGCCATGGACGAGTTGAAGGAGAAACACGCCACGGGCAACAATGAGGTTGACGATCCCGATCGAGCACCCACTGGAGCGGCATATCGCCAGATTCAACAGCAACAACTCGCTTCACAAAAGGAAAATCAACGACAACAACAGTTATTACAGGAACAACAGCAACAACAAGATCAACAAGACCATGACGACTTGAGAGCCATGGTGGCGCGACAAGTCGATAAGGAAGAAAATAGTGACGACAGTGACGATGAATTTGACGATTTATTAGAAGATGACGATCCCATCTTGGAGGCGATTCGACAAAAACGATTACTCGAAATGAAACAAGCGTCGGTCCAACATGCCGAAAATATTGCCAAGGGTCACGGACAGTACCGCACTATTAGTCAGGATGAATTCTTGCCGGAATGCACCGGCTCGAGCGAATGGGTCGCCATTCATTTCTTTCACAAGGAATTCCAAAAATGTCTAGTCATGGATCATCATCTACAACGAATGGCACGTGCCCATGTGACTTGCAAATTTCTACGCATTGATGCCGAAAAGGCACCCTTTTTCATCTCCAAATTGAACATTCGGACCCTGCCCACGGTCATTGTCTTTCAACATGGCAAGGCCGTCGGACGATTGGTGGGATTTGAAGGATTGGTATCAGTGACGGAAAAGAGCGACAATTTTCCAACGTACAAACTACAGCAATGGTTGGCTACCACGGGGGCCATTGATTTTGATATTGCCAAAGATGAAATGGCACGTCAAGAATTGTTGGCGACTGATACGGAAGAACAACAACTACGCAAGGGACGTCAGGGACGGGCCATTTGGAGCACTGCGAGACAGTTCGACGACTTGGTGTTGTAATCATAAATAGCCAATGCTGTTGTTACAGTTCCTTTTGCTATAAGCAAGTTACTTTTCGTCCACTTGACCAGTATACCTGCCACCCACGTGGGTTCCAGTGGATGTGACACGGAGCAAGACGGGACGTTGTCGATCCTTCTCCACCATCGTCACATCGTTGCGGTTGGATGTCGAAGCCACTTCCAAGTCTGTCACTCGGACATGGCCGCCTCCTTCTTGACCCAACCGCACGGTTTCGGCTTGTTGCAAAAAGATTTGACCTGGTTTCTCTTCTTCTTGCTGGAGTTGTTCCAGTAGCAGCCCGACCAGCACACAAGGACGAACTTCTATTTTCAGTCGCCCCACGGCCACGGCTCGTTCTTGGCCCGTCGCACAGTCGTACACTAGCACGTGATCTCCGGCTTGCAATTCACACAGATACTTGGTACTAGTAGCACTACTGCCATTGTCGTCGTTGGCCATGGCGATATAGGAATGGACCGGTCCGGCATTGACACGAAAGGGTCGAGATGGCACAAAGGAAGATGTCGCCGCTTCGCTCAGCACCAGTGCCATCATTTTGGAGGACGAGCCAATCCAACTGCCTTCGGTGGGAGTTAAGTTGCGCACCAAGTCCACGCAGACGCGGTCGGCAATGACACTATTACTTTTTTGGAGAGGCATGCGCCAGCAAACTCCTGGTACTATGGATGGTTCTGTGTCTGCTGTTTTTTTGCTGCTAGTAGTACTGGCTGATTGTTGTTGTTGCTGTTGTCGCCGTTGCTTTTGCGCTTGGTGGACGGCCTCCCATAGTTCTGTGGATACCGCTGTTTTGCTGTTTAGACACAAGGCATCGACTCCCAGCTGGAGTGCCTGTGACAAGCCCACCACATCGGATGTCCGGTCGACACAAAATGCAATCTTGGTGCTCGTTTGAGCGGCGGCTCCAATCAAGTTTTCAGCAGGAATCATGCGCCAATTGTGATCATTACTATCGTTGCTCTCGTTTTTGATGATAGATTCGGTACCCGTATATGCCAGAATCCAGTCCACAGATCCAATAGCTTGGAGAGCCTTTTGTTGGCCTTGTTCGGTGGTGATATTCACCATGATTCCCACCAGACTGTTGTTGGATATCAGTCTGTCCGAATAGGGATCATCCGTCTTGTCCACGTAATACACAATGGCGGGGTGATGATTGTTGTGATCATTATTGTTGATGTCGTCCTTGTCAACGATCAGAGCATCGCACTGATCCATATAGGAACGATGTACATCCGAGTCATCCAATGACGATCTGCGCCAATCGCACCAAATCTGCATGGCATTGCCACTGCCACTGACACTGACATCACCCTTGCTTGGATCACCACCCGTATTGCTGCTAATGGTAGCATCCAGCTGTGATCTGTGATGAAACAATGCCGTGACAGTACCAATATTCGGGCTGAGAGCGGCAGCTGTGTCTGCTACTAGTAGTGCCAACAGTGATGGAATCAATAGTTGTATCCATCGACTCATCTTCGTTGTCCTTGATGAGTGACAGTCAATTGGGTGATAGCCACGAGGCAAAGTCCTTCAAGATTGGAAAACAACGGACACCCAAAGATCCTACCGTAAAGATCCACTCATTAATTTTAACCCTACCGTACTCCCGTCCAAACGGGCCATCAACGCACACCGAGCGCCGACAAGCGGCGCTCGCCTAGAGCAGCACTGCACGACTAGTTGAGTAGTGTAGGGTGGTGGAGAGACTCGGCCATTTACTGAGCCGACCGTCTCCGCAACCCAGGGGTGCCGCTCGTGATTGCTAGAATCGCGAGCGGGAACCAAGGCACGAATGAGGCAGTCCCGCGGGATGTGAGTCCCGCGTGATTGTGCGACATTCGGCCAACCCAAATAGCCAAAGGCAGAACAGGGTGGGAGCGTAGCGGGGTGGGAAAATCCGGAGAGACCGAGAGGAGGCAAGGTCTCTCTGGAGATTTGGACTAAGGGAGGTTAGTCCTCGTAGAGTTCCGCGTGAAGGAGGATCTCTGCGATAGTAGCAGGCGCCTGAGCAGGCGGGAGGAACTTGTCGTAGGTTCCCGCCTGGAAGGTGTAGGCACCGTGGTCAGGACCCTTCTACTTCGGGGACCACTGACGCCGCCAAGGCCGGTATGGGTGGTTTCTACTTCGACTCCACTGGTCCAAGGATACCTATGGAGGGAGCCTTTCCCGGACGACATACAACGCGATCTAGTCTCGCCGCAAACCTCTCTGTGCTACATACCAACAGCGACCTGAACACGTGGCATTCTGGCTCAACAAGCTCTCCTCGCCGACCGTCATGACGCCGCTACGCTAACCCTCTACACACTCTCGGACAACACCACGGCTGTCACCCGGGTGGCCAAGGTTGCTCTCCCTTGATGGACAGCGCCTTCCTCTGCAACTCGCCTGGTCTCACAACGCAACACACCGGTTTTGCCCTCTGTCGTAATCCCAGGACCAGTTAACGTCATGGCCGACGACACTTCTCGTCTCAACATCTCACCATGCCGAACTCCTGTCCCACTTTAGCAGCAGCTATCCGCAGCACTACCCTGGAAGGGGTTGGACGCGCAACCCGAGATCACATTCCAGTCTACTCTCCGCACTTCGCTGCAAGTTGCCTCACAACAGCATCGTTCTCCAAGACGCTCAGGCCGGAACCGCACCTCCGGGCGCTGGTGTGACTTCTGTCATCGCCACAAGGTCCACGACAACCCTACGTGATATCCGTGAGCCACGAGTTCCGTATCTGCTACACTCCTCGCCTTCGCCCACAACAACGCGTGTCGAACGATGTCCGAGATGACACAGTGGTCAAAGCCCTCTCCGCGGTCGGCGAGGGGATATTCCACTTGGACCAGGCCTATCCCCGACTCGGTCCGACGGAAATGCTCCATCCCATACTCACTGTTACTACAAAGGACTCCATGACGGCGACGGACTCCCGACCGGGCCTACCCTGCCAACATCTCCATCCTCCAAGAAAGCTCACGCTCTCGACTACTTGACCCCGTCCGTGGAACAGTCAACCAACACACATCGGTGACCTCTGCATCTGCGACTCTTCTGGCTCCTCCGCCGCTGAATACCTCGACGCCAGTAACCTGAGGCCCGGAGCCAGGCCTTTCTCCTCGAGGACATCACCTTCACCATCGCCGGTCGCTTCCAAGTCATCCGCTGAAAGATCTCTTTGAATGACGTGTCTGACCACAGTCGCCTCACCGCGGTTCTTGATTTCCTGACCAAGAACGCCGTCAAAGGCGAGTCGGGTGGTCATCCGGCTACCGCTGACCCTGGCTTGTCCTGTCAAATCCCTCGCCCGTCTGTCCGTCACATCCGCTCCGCACACATCACGCTCAACACCCCTTGGAGGACCGCGCCTCCACGCCCACTCTACAAACACTACAACTCCGTCCGTAGAAATGGTACACGTCAAGCCCAACATCATCACCGATGCCCTTCGGGCTGCCGCAAAGCGGCTCGAACGGACCACCGGAATCTTTCCACATGAAAGTGTCCGCTCGCTACCTCCGTCCGGGCGGCGCCACTGCTCTCCTCTGCGCCCATGTGGACTCTGATGCCATCCGCCATCCTCGGTCGATGGAAGTCGACGCCATGTTGCGCTATCTTCGAATCCAGGCCGCCACCATCACGCATCACTATTCCCATAAAATGCTGGC